GATCTTTGCTACTTCGCTTCTCTATCTCCTTTATATATGACAAGGATGAGCAGGCAGGCAGGAGAAATGATCCCTCTACCTCCCATTTCAGGTTTTTCCTTATTTATCCCTTTCAGAATTGTCTTATATCATTCTGTTTATAAAGTTTGTCACGTACCATTGATTGTCAAGCACTCAAGCATTACATTCAAATAAGACTTGTAACAAAAATTAAAGTTTGTGATTTTTATAAAACTGAATTTTGCTAATTGTTTGGCCTGTGATTTACTTAAAATGAAGTGTTAGCATCCTCTTGCTCACCTGGTAGAAGAAAGGGCTTTGCCTTTTAACAGCAGAGACTAAATCATAGTTACTGCACTTTTCAGATTCTAGAATTTGTACAGGGATATTATCTGAAAGAGCTCTTTCTGACTCCAAGTCATAGGGTTCATTTGGATACGAGTGCTTCCATATTTCTTCCGTTTCCCTATTTGATATTCCTTTCAAAGAAGATACAACATTATGGTTGTCAAGAAGTCTCCCATATAATTGCTCGCAGTCAGTCTTGTATCTAACCTGGAAAGGTAGAATAACCATTTCACGTGTCAATAAAAGCAATCAGTCACAAAGGTATAATTGAAAACAAATGTTTCAACTGTTCAGAAGCTTACAGGATTGAGTCTGTGACAATGCCAAACCCATTCACAATCAAGGGGAATGACCAAAGGTCCTTCAAAGAAGGGGGACTCAGAGTGTTTTGCCAATAACGGTAGCCAACACGAATAATACCTGAAATGGAGATTTTCATTGCAAGTTTTCCAAATAAAGAAAACTGAAATACATGAATCAAGGTCAAATCCCCCAAGATAACAGAAACAATCTCAAGTCTTTTTCAAGGATCACGAAACATAATAGTATAATACACGACATGAGCGAGAAGCCAAAGAAAATAAAATCTGAATCAGTATCTAGCACTGAATATTATACTTAAACCAATGCAATATTAACTGCCAGTATCACCCTAAGACCAGAAGACACGATAAAATGTCGAATTAAGAAAGCATTCTCAACAAGTAGTAACATCATAGCTAAGTGAACTGGGCGGAGAACCATGAGGTCTTAGGTTCAAATCCCAGTAGCGGCAAAAAACCACTAGGTGATTTTTCTAATTTGCCTAAACCTTGGTAGGCAGAGTACTTACAGCTTGTTTGGATGGTTGTTATGTATCGCTTCATAATGTATCGTATAGTATTGTATTGTATTGTATTGTATTGTAATGTAGTGTATCGTTTTGATGTATAGTATGTTTGGATAGGTTGTATAGTTTTCCGCCGTTTCATGATGTCATGCACAAATAATATGAAGAATAAACTTGCAATATTATAAAGAAAAAGTAAGGTACAACAACAACATACCCAGTGTATTACCACAAGTGGGGTCTGGGGAGGGTAATATGTACGCAAACCTTACCCCTACCTTGTGAAGGTAGAGAAACTGTTTCCGGAAGAGCCTCGGCTCAATAAAGCAAAAACGCATCAGTTATGGCAAAAAAACTACAGTAAGCGAAATAGTAACAACATCCAGAGGGAGAAAAAAAACACAACGAAGCAAAGGAAACATAAGGTAATAATATCGATCTAAAAATAGGGAACACGAGGATAACACTAGTACTACAGCTATGGAAGAAAGTACAGGTTTGGAAAAGAAATACGCTCGACTACTTACTAACCTACAACCCTAATCCTTGAAAGGGTCATGTCCTCGGTTAGGTGAAAATGTGTCATGTCTTATCTGATCACCTCTCCTCAATATTTCTTCTGCCTACCTCTACCATTCCTAGGACCCACCATAGCCAACATCTCACACCTCCTCACTGGGACATCTGTGCCTCTCCTCTTCACGTGCCTGAACCATCTCAGCCTCGCTTCCCGCATCTTGTCCACCACACAAGCCACTCCCACCTTATTTCGAATATCTTCATTTCTAATCTTATCCCTCCTAGTATGACCATACATCCATCTCAGCATCCTCATCTCCGCAACTTTTAACTTCTGAACATGAGAGGTCTTGACTGGCCAACATTCTGCCACATACAACATGACCGGTCTAACCACTAATCCGTAAAACTTACTTTTAAGTCTTGGTGGCACATTCTTGTCGCACAAAACGCTGGATGCGAGCCTCCACTTCATCCACCCCGCTCCAATAGATGTGTGACATGCTCGTCAATTTCCCTATTTCCTTGGATTATAGATCTAAGATACTTAAAACTTTCTCTCTTAGGTATGACTTGTGTGTCCAGCCTCACTTCGATGTCATTATAAAAAAAAGTAAGGTACGAAGTAAAATTATTATATAAAAAGGTAGGGTAAAACATAAAATAAGATTGTTTAAGAATAAGGAAGGGCATGGTGAGAGAAAAAAATAAGGTAACGACGCGACCATACAAATTGGTCATGACACTTTTCGTCGTTACGTAACGACGGATTTAACGATATGATACAATAAAATTTAAGTAACAATCAAAACAAACATTGTATTTAAAGTAATAATAGGATACAATACAACAAGTAACAACCATCCAAACATGCTGATAGTACTTGTGCGGATACGATTTAGCAGGTACCCAATAGAATAGTCAAGTTGCGTGCAAGCTGGCCGGACACCACCGTTATAATAAAAAAATATCATAGCTAAGTGAACAATTGCAACAGACGTCACATTTCAAAATTGGGGATTACCTATAAATAGCCATATCCAGACCAGGGCCCTCATAGAGCCAACGGTTCCTATCAAGGGTAGCAAGAAACTCAAGATGCAGTTTGGCTGCAGCAACAAGGTCTACATTTATCACAATCTTCTGTGCTTCATCCCACTCCAACTGCTGCTCCATCTCCATGCCTTCTTCGACCACAAGCTATTGGGTTGACAACGCAATTGGTAAATTGCAGAATGATATTCTATAAATTTTAAAAAGATTGGGTATAGAAAAGCCAAGGCAAATCACCAGTTTGGAGAAAGTTAATTCAGAATCGCACAGAAGGAAAAATGCACAATTAGTACTAAGTAATTTGCTTGTTGAACTTACAGAGAAAACAAAAGAAACGATGATCGCCGGACAACTCTATGGAGATAGCGACTCTTTTTTATATTGTGTAGGAGTTTGAGGTTTTCAAAGTCTTTGTGACTCCAAATATAAGTAGATTTTGCCGAGTAATTTCAACGAAAGCTTCGAGTTTGAACATCAATCAATATTTATAGATTAGCATGTGGACGAAGCCGCGAATAAGAGTAGTAGTACGACGAGTTCTAGACTTCATCAAGTCCACCATGCTTTTCTTATGACAAAACTACCCTCTGATTACATGCTTTTTTTTTTTTCTTTCGAAAAAGGGTCAAATTTACCCGTCTGGTGTTTGGATTGGCTTATGTTTGGATTGGCTTAAAAACAGGTCAAATTAGCTTAAAATGACTTTTTGGCTTATTTGAATGTTTGGATAGATCATAAAATTACTTTTAAGCCAAATGCTTTTAGGCTGAAATACTCAAAACAAGCTAAAAGTAATAAGTTGGGGTTGTCCAACTTATTACTTTTTGGCGTAAAAGCTTTTTATGTTTGACCAAATAATTTACCCTACTATCCCTTTCATTTTTTCTAAAACCCAAAACTACCCTTCCCTTACAAATTAAATCCTCGTGTCAGTTCTAATCACCATTTTTAATCTTGCCGTTGCTGATGTCATTCTCAAAAATTTGTCAATTTCGTGAATTTCTTAACGTGAAGCAAACAATAGTTTTTTAAACCAATGTTTGATACATTCCAATATTTTGTAAATATTATATTCTTTTAGCTTCTTTTTTGGTTCCATAACATTTATTTTTTGGTCGTTGAATCCTTCCTTTTTTTAATTGGTGTAACTATATTCTAAATCAAATCATTCGATGAGTTTATATATTACCACAGAATTTGAAGTTATGAACGAAAAAACCACTTTTTTGACAAATAATTAATTATTACATGTTATTTAAATGAATATGTTATATTTAGGCAATCAGTTTAAATTGAAAGTGAGTTAAATTATAAATTATAAATTATTTGTATATGTGTCAACTTAGAATAAAATATTATAGTAATCGTCTTCATTATAATGTTAATATTATAATGTTAATAACTTTAAAGATATTGCAGTCATTTTAACAGAAAAAAGTGCTTACCAGCACTTGTTTACAACATTTCAACAACTTTTTTTCAGTTTCAGCACTTTTATCAAAACACGTAACTGCTTATTTATAAAATAAGTTTCAGCACTTAAAAAATGTTTTTAAGCACTAATGCTTAAAAGCCACTTTTTTTAAGTCAATCCAAACGGGCTCTTTGGAACTACTTTTTGCTTATTTTATTTTGATAAGTATATACTTGGGATCTTTCTTTTTTGTTGCTAATATATATTTTGGGTCTAATATTAACCATGTTTAGGAAAAAAATCTCCTTTCTATCCTTTATCCCTAACAAGCTTCACACTGAGTGTAATTTTAACCTATAGTAAAAGATAGGAAAGCAAATTTAGACCTTTTGTCATCAAATATTTTGACTTACGGAATCCATCCATTTCAGGCTAGAGTTTTTTAATGGCAGTGAAAATACAAGACGATTTGCTAATAATAAATTGAGTCCTTGATTCATGAAAAATGAATTTTTTTAGCCCTTTAGTCATGCTTCTAAAATCAACTTATTTTGAGAATGTTTTTCTCAGAAGTACTTTTCAAAAAAACTATTGTTCGTGAGAAGCATTTTATGTTTGGCTATTTAATTTGAAAAGCACTTTTGAGCAACAATTAATATTTGACCAAACTTTTTCTTTCTACTTCTAAAAAACTGCTTTTGTTCCTACTCAAAAGCACTTTTTTTCTTTTTAAAAGCTTGGCCAAACAGTCTAGATATGTCTTTGAGGCCATGCAACTTGCAAGCATCTCGAATTCTAGATACACCTGAGTACATATAGAAACATGAACCCTATAGATCTTTGAAACCAATACGCAGAACTTCGGGCAAGTGTAGAAAGCTCTCTCTGTCTTTCAGAAGAGAAAATTCCAACAAGCTATCAGTTACATCTAGGTGAGCAAACAACTTTTTGCTATTTCTACAAAACCAACTAAACATAATGCCTTCACTATTGCAACACATGCTATGCATTGTAAACCTGCATGCTGAAGGAGATACATAAATCACCAAAGACATTGCCTATTATTACAAATTTTGAAGCAGATAACTGGTAGCTAGCAATAACAATAAATGGTGGTAAGCAACAGATATGTTGGCAGAGTCGGTACTCATATCACTACTTCCTCTGGTTTTGAATCTTTTTCTTTGTTAGCTTCTTTTTCCAAGTATTCTGCTTCAATTGTCTCCTTCAGAATGAAAAGTCTCTGAATAACAACAGGTTGATTTATCTGCTTGGCTTCCCTAATTTCAGTCTCTTCTTTATTCAGGTTGTACGCGTCAAGCATGATTTTAATCCACTTGTGCAGCTCTTTTGGAGTTCTGCTCCACACAACAAAGAAAATAAGTTTTGAGGTGCGTCATAACCCATGCAAATACCAACTAATTCCTAGATTATCTAAATGAATATCATGAATTCTTCCGACAAGAAAGCGCTAAGCTCTTACGTATAAATAGCATTAGGATCCTTAGCATCATGTTCATGACCAGGACTGAAAGCTGTTGCCAATGCTGAGAATCGCTCTTCAGGATCTGTGATGTTTAGCAAGTACTTAAGCAACTTTATTTCTTTTGGTGCCATACTCCTTAGACTACTTTGTGTAGCCTTGTATAGACGGTGCATTATCTCCTTTACCTACACCCATATGTCAGCATCAGCTCTAGTAAAAATTATCTGGGACTTCAACTGAATAAAAGATTTCCATCAGAGGGAGGGAAATTCGAGTACAAGATAGAACATATTTAACATTTGGGACAGATATGGTTTAAATTACTGAAGTCAAATTGGCCTATATAGTTAAAGAAAAGGAGGAAAACAGAAGAACGTCTAGAATAAGGCTACTGCTAACATTTTCAGGATAAATTGATAAGTGGACTCCACAAATTACTTGTGCAAACACAACCAATGGTTTAGTTAAAACATATTTTCATCTGAAGACATTTTCCAGTTTTTACAATTATATTGAAGTCCTCCCTTTCACCCCCTCCAAATAGAATAAGAAGAAAGCATGAGGACATGGAATTTAATTTAAGACAATTGAAAAACAGTTAAATTTACTTAATTGGAACCAATGGCATCGAATGGCCCAGGAATTATGAGTAGCTTCAGGATGTTCTACACTTTCTAAACTGTATAGTAGTATTCCTCGTTGCAATTGTCATACTACTAATGTTTTTCTTGTATATGAGCTACAGGTTCTAATAAACCATCTACTCCCCACATAGCATGTTACGTGATAATTTCATTGGCACAAAGTTTTGACATGTACATCATATTGGTGTCAAATGTTTTGGAATATAGCACATGGAATGTGTGCCAAAAATCGGAATAGAAGGAGTTTACTATTCAACATAGAAGAATGTCTGCAACTGTACATCTTTTTTTTTTTTTCCAATCAAAATAT